ACCTGTCTAAAAACAAATGCGCACCTGCCTGCCCTGCAAAAAGAGCACCCCCGATTCGGCGAATTGTCCTGCGGCCTGCCGAAGCACCGCATCTGGCGGGCAGGGGTGGCTTTGCCGGTGAGACAAACACTTTGAGCCCAAGGATTGGACGAAGAAATATTCAAAGTCTATGTTTGTTTTTTAAAGAAAAACAAAAACATTCACTTGTCTTTGTCCCAATTCTGCATACGCGTCTATGAGCATCCTCAACTCCCTGAGAAGTACACCCTGCTCCGACTCACACCGATCCAATTCACGATCATCGGGCTTGCCTCAGATCCCCTGCTAAAGGTTTGACTTTTAGTGGGTTAAATGGACACCCCCACTAAACACAAAGAAGCTCTAAAAAAGCAAGAGGAGCCGGATGGCTGGTTGAGCCACCAAGTAGTCCGTGCTTCAAGTGCCCAAACCCGGGGAACTCCTTTGCTTCCAACGCTCAGCCTTCAGTTCTGGGAGTCAGCGGGGGTTCCGGCGCTACCAAAGACACCCGTCGATGGCGTGTGACAATGGCGAACCAGCCGAACATTAGCGCCAGAAGGACAGGCAGCCGCTCACCCCGCACAGGAGTTTATTCAGTTGCCAAGAAAAAAACAGGGGTGCACTTTTGGGAGTACGCGGCCCACCTTTGGGGCAAAGGAATAGTAGAACCTTGCCCCCGCATCTCGCCCCCGAAATCCGAAGGCCTGCGGGCAGAAGCAGAAGGGCCAACAATGCGGCCCTCAGCCTCGGTTCGAGCACGCTGAGCCCTCGCGGCACACACGATGGCTGAGAAGACAGAACCCCCCCCCCCGCCATGGAATGTTCAAGTGCCATATTCAGTTGCCTGGCAGACCTCTGACGCTGGGGGTACAGTTCCTTTTTGAGAAACAACAACTGCACGAAACTTCAGTCAACTGGCACCCACTGATGGACACCTCTCACCCAAAACAACTGAGCACATGACAGCACACACGCGAAGCGATGCCTTACTCAAGATGAGGTTCCTTGCTTCGACTATTGCAATATTGCTTGCATCAAGCCTAGCAAGAACGCTCCACATAAGAGCTTCATTAATTCCATCAATGTCAATACCAACAAAAAATAAATGAAAGAAGAAAAAGAAGACAGAAATAAAAAGAGAGAGAGAATAAAAAAAGAGAGAGCAAAAAAAATAATAACTAAGAAGGGAAAAAATAGTAAAGGAGAAAAAAAAAAAAACGGAAACCTAAAAGCCATATCGTCGGAAACGACCCAAAATTCATTATAAATATAATATTTATTTTAATTATAAAAAAAAAAAAAAAAAAAAACATGGTGCCAGCAAACCCTGGTGCCCTATGAGTTGCTTACTCCCCCCCTAAAAACACAACACGCACACAAGGGCCACGGAATTATCCACGCCCAATCGACTGGGCCCCCGGCGTCATTGGGACTGGAGCCGGAGCCCGGCCCAGAAGGCCCGAAGCTCTCGGGCTGAAAAGCGATGGCCACGACGTGGGCCCGGCCACGCCCCCACGTGGCCGCGGCGGTTTTCTTTTTTTTACCGCCCACGAAGAACCTGGAGCACCCAAAACAACTTTAAAACCCGAAAAGGCGGTTTTTTACCGCCCACGGAAAATGGAGCACCCAAAAGAACTTTAATAACCCGAAAAGCATGAGCCAGAAAAACTGTGCAAGGGCGTGTGGTCCTTTTCAAAGTACCCTCCCATCCAACTTGGAGCCCTAGAAAGTTCAATGTTGGGTGGGTTCTATGTTGGTGGACTGGAGGAGCTTGTTCAGATTGGTTTTAAGGACAACAACCACCTTTGGGACATACCTACTTGGCAGGATGCAAGATGCTCCTGTGAGCCATGGTCAATAGTCATGTTTTTTTCAACTGACATGAAGGATTTGGGTGAACTCCCAGTTCGTAGTCATTTGTGGAATGTACCCAATGTCTTCTTATTGAAAACAAAAAGTGGCACAACGTATCTGGTGAACACAAGGATGCTGAGATACTGGTTCTCTGGCGACCTGAATTTGCTGCTGCCACACCTCCCGCAAATGCATGCCACAAATCGTCACCCACTGCACAAATTGGTATATGTGAATATATGATCCCGTGCTGTCTGGTGCTACATGCATGCATTGCAGCTGAACGTGGCCTCCGGGTGAACCAAGTGACCTGGATACATGGAGATAGGTTCGTTGGTCAACTTAGGCCAAAAGGGACAAAGCCCGAGGCCCCCAACCCCCCTTGAGGCTCTTAGAACCTTATTAGAAGCGTTCTTAGAAGTCTAAGAACTGTTCCATCCCATCGCACTTTCTCCGGCTCAAGCTTGGGCCTCTTTTGCGGAGTGTGAAACCTTCGCCTAGCAGCAAGCCGCCACAATCTCTTAGTTGCTTGCGGCCGTCTGATTGCCGAGCAAGTTCACATGGATCGAATCTTCCGTGAAATGCCGCGGGCAATGTTGAAGAGCGGTACAAGTATGAATTATGCATGTATGTGTTTGCACAACATTATATATATATATATAAATCACTATGTATATATATATGCAACATATGTATGTATACACAATATATGACATGTGTGTGCTTGCAGTTGGCTCCGCAGCGTTGTGTAAATAGCGTCCTCCTGTCAGATTTAACAGTGGGCGAGTCTTGGCAAGTTCGACATATACGTCTATGTGTAGCGCACAGATTTACCGACCACAATGGTGATAAGGGTGGTGATAAGGTTGGTGATAAGGGTGGTGACAAGGGTGGTGACAAGGGTGGTGACAAAGGTGGTGGTTGTGGTGGTGGTATGGTAATGGGTGGTGACAATGGTGGTGGTTGTGGTGGTGATAATGGTGGTAATAAAGGTGGTGATAAGGGTGGTGATGCGGGTGGTGAGGAGAGTGGTGAGGAGAGTGGTGATGGTGGTGATGATGGTCGTGACAATGGTGGCGATGGTGGTGGTGGTGGTGATAATGGTGTTGATAAGGTTGGTGATAAGTTTGACAATAACGTTGATGACAACGGTAGTGATAAGGGTGGTGGTAAGGGTGGTGATAAGGTTGGTGATAAGGGTGGTGGTGATAAGGGTGGTGGTGATAATTGCGGTGGGGATAATGATGGTGGTGATCATGGTGGGGATAATGGTGGTGATTGTGGTGGTGGTGGTGGTGGTGGTGGTGGTGGTGGTGGTGGTGGTGGTGGTGCTGGTGCTGGTGGTGGTGGTGGTGGTGGTGGTGCTGGTGGTGGTGGTGGTGGTGGTGGTGGTGGTGGTGGTGGTGGTGGTGGTGGTGGTGGTGGTTGTGGTGGTGATAATTGCGCCGGTGATAAGGGTGGAGCTGATAATGATGGCGGTGATCATGGTGGTGATAATGGTGGTGATTGTGGTGGTGATCATGGTGGTGATCATGGTGGTGGTGGTGATCATGGTGGTGATCATGGTGGTGATCATGGTGGTGATCATGGTGGTGATCATGGTGGTGATCATGGTGATGATCATGGTGGTGATCATGGTGGTGATCATGGTGGTGATCATGGTGGTGATCATGGTGGTGATCATGGTGGTGGTGGTGATCATGGTGGTGATGGTGGCGGTGGTGATGGTGTTGAACTAATCCTGTAAGAACGCTGCCCTTTGTTGCACCTTTGGGCAGAACACAACCCTAAACTGGTGAAATGTGTACCGACGACTAGCGCGGTCACTTGTGCGGGAAGCAAATCGCTCCATGTGTCTCGGAACCGTGGCAGCTTGGCAAGGCAGAGGTAACGATGGATCTTGCCCAACAAATCAATGCCAAATACGTTCTGGTGCGATAGGCAGGGAATGAGGGAATGACCCCTATAGTTTCCTTTCAGGGAATCCAAGGGTTCATTCCATCATTCCCCGCTGAGCACCAGCAAAAATAGGGGGACTTCGAAGTTGTTTTTTTTCCGGAATTCACGAGTCTCTCACTCAACATTGCGAAAGCTCTGCTGTTCAGTAAGCTGCGATCTAACCAGATCCTACTGTTGCTGCAAATTCAAGCGCCACGTCAGGGTATGGTCACTGCATTGCCTGCAGTCGGCTTCTCTACGCTCAGTCCTGGTGCAAGCCCTGCGGTTCTCCGAGCAAGTCCCTTCTGTTTTTCCACGGGTTCTGGGGTGGGGTGGGGCAAAATGATGATGCGCAAATTCGGGCTTGTTTGTCATGCTGTGCGGACGTCCACCTTGGAAGTCCGCGCGAACCAAACGACCATGAGGTCTCAAACAGTGTGGGGTTGAATCAAAGCGAACTGCCTTGAAAATAATAGGCCTCAACAAGGGTAGAACCAACCAACCATCCAACCAACCAGCCAGCCAGCCAGCCAGCCAACCAGCCAAGGGACCCGCTTGAGTAGCCCTAAAAAGGGGGAGAAAAAAAACACCTCACCTCATCCCTCAACATTCATGCTTTGATTCACAGTTGTATCTTCAGAGAACCCAGGGCTTTGGACACAGTCGCCGCAAAACGCTTCAAAAAGTCGTCGGGGATCTGGGTGTATTGCCCCGGCACTGCAAGAAGAAAGGACTGGTTCCAAGATGGCTTCCACCCCAAATCACTGAGTGAAACTCAACGTGAAGCTGAAAAGAAGTTGCTTCAATCGAACCTGCGCAACCCACACTTGCTTTCGTTGCCAAAAGCCTGGGCCAGCTTTCTGGTTTTCACGTCAAGCCTCTTGACTCTGAACGCGGCTCTCCTACGAAAAGCTCAGTCTCCCCGCCTCTCTGCGCGTGGGGCCAGCGAAAATTTAACCACTGACTGCCAGGCGCCGCGCGGGCGCGCGCGGAAAGCTCGCGCCGGACGCCGCTCTCGCGAGCGCTCCGAGTCGAAAATACCGCGTTGCTATCCCATTGAACTGCAACAACTGCATTGAGGCCCAGGTAAACACACACACACACACATCCTGCGAACGGGTCAGCCGAAAAGACGGTCTGTTTTCTGCCGTTCATGTTCAAACTCCTAACGCATCGCCTAGCCTATCTGTCCCCTTCTGAACCGCTCGCCAAAAGAGCTCGGCCGGTTGGTCGGTTTGCGGCGTCCGGTTGACTCAAATTGCTTGGCCGACTCAGGGACCTTCCTGCGCCGCCTGCGCCGCCCGCATCCTGCAGAGGGAGATGAATTCGCAGGGGGTACCCTCAAGCTTCATAAAACGCTCTCCATTTTGGGATGTTGGCCTTTCCTCAAGTTTGCGCTGGCTTCCGGTAGAACAAAAAGGAGCTAAGACAGGACTGCGCCGTGTTCCCTCAACTACTAAGACAATGGAAGGGGAACTTGTTGATCGAGCATGCAAAGACATGGAGTGCAGTTTGCGCTTCTCCTAAGCGCATTCATTGGTTCATAATCTTCTGAGCCAACTGAGCCAAGCGTCTGCAAGCGCGTGTTCTTGGAGGGCCGGATGCGCTTGTTCTTCTGACCTGCGGCGTGAAAGCATTTAGAACTCAAGCCTGCAGGACCAGCGCATTGTGAGACTTCCGCAAGAGGGTCATTTGAGTCACAATCAAAACCCGGCATCACAATGGTTGACCCAGGACCATGCAAGGAAATACAAAGGCAGCCGAAGCTGTTTCTGGCTGGGACTGTCCCTTACTAAGCTTCATCTACCCGGGTTTTTGGGCATCTTAAATCCAAGAGGCTCGGGTCATGCTAAACACTGCGATCAAAACCTCCCCCGGGTTTAATTGGTCATTGGGCAGAACCATGAACTCCAACTCCAACTCCCGCAGTGTAGCCCGTTCACTGACCTGCTATCAGTCGGGAGTTTTGTTCAGGCCACCCTCATTGCCCTCTCCTGACACCTCTTGCCGGACACATCCGGCTTGGCTCGATGCAGCTCAACTGTCAGCAACATTGCCACACATTCCTTTTAAGCGACGGCTTGCCTTTGAAGAAAGGCACCATTGGTCAGAGCTGCAATTGACCAGTCGTTAAAGCTTCACGGGAAGAGAACGTATGCAGCTTAGCAGGGTTTTTGCGCATCGTGAGGAAACATGTGTTGCAAAATGAAGTATGTGCAAAGTTGCAGAGGTCAATCAGCTAGGGAGTATTGTCTGAAACGTCGCACTCCTGTAAGAAATACGTGAAGGCTCTGAGAGGGTCACTGCCGAATTGCAGGCCCCCCCCCAAGCCTCAAACATGAGCACTGAACGCCCAAGTCAAAAAAGCACTGAACGACAATCCGGCGTTTTCGGCTGAGTCAAAGAACCTGCACTTTGAAGCTTCAGAAAGCCACGGGAGCCCTTGCTGCCACGCTGCCGGGGTGTCGAAAATGGCAGAAGTCACACATGATGCCCTTGTTGCACAGGGCCTGCGCGACCGTGGAAGAAATGGCCCAAAGCACACACCCGGGGACACCAAAACGAAAAGTGCCTGCGGATGAGAGCAAAACCAAAACGACTGTTTGGATTCCTCTCGTTCAGCTTCCTTCCCCAATCTGTACTTCCCAAGTCGGAACAAATGGAAACTCAAAGACTCGTGCAACAGCCCATCTGAGGGCAGCTGGCGTTTCCATAGTGGCTCTAGTGGAGAATATTTGCCATGTTAAATAAGTCAGTAAAGACCGGTGTCCTTTGAGTTTCCTTTTAAGACAAAACTCCAACACAGGGTCACGCGTCAGGTTCCGCCCGCCTTGTCCTTGAACCAGAAAATGCAGGGGTTGCAAGAGTCTGGGTGCAGGCGGCTTCCTAGAGAAGCTCGCTCACCTGGCGATCAACCGGAACAAAAATCTAGAGGACGATTGGCCCGAAAGCATTGAAAGCCATGTGTGTGGAAGGGATAACCTTGCGAGTGAGTTTGGCGAAGATTCTTCAACAGCCGCTGCTCTCTGCAAGCTGCTGCACGCAAGTGCTCTGTGCAAGTTGCTCTGCGCAAGTTCTCTGAGCAAGTTGCTCTGCGCAAGTGCTCTGCGCCAGTTGCTCCGTGCAAGCGCTTTGCGCATGTGCTCTGTGCAAGTTGGTCTGTGCAAGTTGCTCTGTGCAAGTGCTTTGTGCAAGTGCGCTGCGCAAGTTGCTCTTCGCAAGTTGCTCTGCGCAAGTGACTCTGCGCAACTGTGGGCATGTACTTCGCGTACTATTTTTGTACTTAAAAGTTGCGATTTTCCAGCCGGAGCTGCGGGAGTGTTCTCCGCGTACTACGTTTGTACTTAAAAGTTGCGATTTTCCAGCCGGAGCGGCGGGAGCATTTTCCAGCCGGAGCTGGAGCACGCTGCGCGCTCCGTTTGTACTTGAAAGCTGCGATTTTCAAGCCGGACCAGGGGGGAATCGAACCCGCGACCGCGGGATTGCGAAAGCAGGCGCACAAACCAGAATGACAACTTCCAAAGGCCATTTCGCGAGCAACAAAATCGCACGGCGCCACAGCTAGAGCGCTTCGACACGCACGATCTCCGCAGAGGGCTAAGAAGGATTCGCACGGCGCCACAGCGAGAGCGATACGACACGCACGATCCCCGCAGAGGGTTCATCGGGCTCAAGACAGATTCGCACGGGACCACAGCGAGAGTGCTTCGACACGCACGATCTCCGCAGAGGGTTCGCCGCGGTCAGGACAGATGCGCACGGCGCCACAGCGAGAGCGCTTCGACACGCACGATCTCCGCAGAGGGTTCGCCGCGGTCAAGACAAATTCGCGCGGCGCCACAGCGAGAGAGCTTCGACACGCACGATCTCCGCAGAGGGTTCGCCGCGGTCAAGACAAATTCGCACGGCGCCACAGCGAGAGCGCTTCGACACGCACGATCTCCGCAGAAGGTTCGCCGAGGTCAAGACAAATTCGCACGGCGCCACAGCGAGAGAGCTTCGACACGCACGATCTCCGCAGAGGGTACGTTTCGTAAGCTCCCGTCGGGCCTACCCCCGCCAGAAAAAGAAGAAGAATTAAGAGTCGAGCTGTGAAGGTAGAAAAGAAAAGTTAGCTTGTGTTTTTAGGATAATGAGATAACACCCGAAAAGTTGACATGAGAAGTTGGCTGGTGAAGTAACTCTCGAAAAGTTGACATGAGAAGTTGGCAGGTGAAGTAACTCTCGAAAAGTTGGCATGAGAAGTTGGCAGGTGAAGTAACTCTCGAAAAGTTGGCATGAGAAGTTGGCAGATGAAATAACTCTCGAAAAGTTGGCAAGAGAAGTTGGCAGGCGAAATAACTCTCGAAAAGTTGACATGAAAAGTTGGCAGGTGAAGTTTGCAGCCGCTTTTAGAAGAAGAACCCTTCGCAATGCTTCACTTCGCATCTCTGTTGCAAAGAGGGGTGGCCCCACGGGTTTACCATGATCCAAGTCAGCCCTAAGTGGGTTTTGACAGCCCCCAGAAACAGTCAAAATCCGGTGGTTGGGAAGGATCGGGTTTTTTCAAAGGACGACACTCAGCCCATGGATCTGTGCGCCGTGAAAGGGATTTTCGATGGCACTCAAATGGCGCGGACGCCACTTGTGGCACATGTCTGCCCAGGCGCCATTGGCCTGTCTTTCCCACCACCGCGTCCTCAAAACCCAACACCGGAGACCCGGAAACTTCCAACATGCGGGCGGGTGTGTGTGTGTGTGTGTCACAGGCAAAAAAAAACTTGGGGCTGCTTTGGGCTGCTCATCCTTTCAGTAAGGACTCGAAACAAAAAAAGATACTCGGAGAAAAACAAGAAGAAGAAGAAGAAGAAGAAGAAGAACAAAAACGAAGGAACACACTTCGAAGGCGCGGAGCCCGTCTCCACTGCCCCTCCCACCTTCGTCATTCACCGGGATCTGCGCCAGAATCGCCTCCTCGTCTGCGGCTGGAGTTGCCACCTGCCTAAAATCGGTGGCCAAGGGAGGGCGCCAAAACCGGGGTCGGTTTTTGCAGCGCGGCCCCCATTAAAACTGAACAGAACAAAAAAGACTAAATACCTATGTCAAACATGATCCAACAGCAGTGAAGCCTGCTAAATTAAAAAGGTTGAAGAGAAAGGCCTCCTCATTGTACAAACATATATATATATATATGATATGATATGTGTGTAATGTATATATGTTGTGAGGCTCATTGTAAGTACATATACATATATTTATCATGTTACATAAACTTGACAAAGGCTCGCTTGACGCTCTGCCCTCAAACTCGGGCCGGAACCCTGCGAGCTGCTGCTGCAACTGCATCTGCTGCTGCTGCAATTGCTGCATTTGCTGCTGAAGCTGCAGCTGCTGCATCCTCGGCCGACATCCAAGGAATCTCAAAATAGGATGACACATCTTATATGGCCATGGGTCAAAAGCCATCCGTACCCCCAGATCCCAATCCTCACTAAAATAGACTAAAATGGGTGGTGCACCTACCCCAAAATGGGATCCCATTGGTTTTGACCCACACCCATAGTGGTTCTCCTTTGGCTTGTTGCTTTCACCCATCCAAAATCCGGTTACCCTCAAAAACACCCAGCCATCTGTGGACATTCCACCCAAACCCGGGCTTCGCATTATGAGCGGATCCCTCAGCCAGCAGCATTTGCCTCTCTGCAGATGCGAACAAAGAACACGAACGAAAGCAGGAAGGACAAAAACACCACACAAAAAAGAAAACTTCGGTTTCCCTTTGGGTTTCCCTAAAAGGAAACCCCCACAAAAAAAAGACACACCACTGCAAGAGGAAGAAGAAGATTCGGACTGATGCAGATGAAACAAAAACGCGGAGAAAACTTCGGAAGGTCCTTGTGTGCTCTGCGCAGCGTTGTGGTTGGCACGTTTTGGCACAATGTCGTCAACTGATCCGGTCCTTACGGTGCCCTTCAGCGTTGGCTGCATGACCGGAAAAAAAGGCGCGGTGAAGGATTGTAGGCAGTGTGTGTTACCAGGCGATATGATCAAAATGCACCACCTAATGCACCACCTAATGGACCACCTGATGCACCACCAAGAAAGGACTTCTGAGCCTCGGTCCAAATTACTTGAAACATGAGCCATCCTCTCGTAGGGAATTTGTGGGGTTGCCCCGCATGTCCTTCCCCAAAAAGCATAGACTCTTAGACCAGTCATTTCACCAAACCTGTGACCTGTAGGGACTCTGATCCTGGCTCCAGAACCAACACGTGGCTATGGAGAATCGGTCCCCCGTTGAAATTCACGCCCATGAAACAAAACAACAACTACACAAAGTCGCGTTTATTTGGGCTTTGATCATTTTCTCCTAGGCGCCAGAATCCAGATACATGTGTATCATATATATATATATATATGTTTTTTTGTTTGTTTACTTGTTTTCATTTACTTCTGGGCAGTGTGTTTGTTGGGCGCTCCTTTTGGCGTGGAGTTGTCAGGGACCCCAAAAGGAACCTCCGCATTTCCGTGCGCCCCAAAACCCTCCGGGCACCCGGCTGCGACTCCAGCAGCTGCTGCTGCAAGAGCTGCATCGCTGGCTTCCTGAGATCAAACAAACATGTGGCCAGGCTAAAATGGGTGGTGCACCAACCCCAAAATGGGATCCCATTGCTTTTGACCCACAGCCATGTTAAGGGGGAAGGAGTTTTGTTTCTGTCAGAGGGGTCATTCCCCAGGCTTCATCTCCCTGCGATGCGGGCCAACTGACTGGCTAAGCCAAAAGATCAAACAGCTGCAAAGGAGTGACTCAAGGAGCCTTGGGCATCTCGCCCACCCCCAGCTTCGAGGGTGGGAGGCTTGAGAATTTCCATCCTTCCAGGCGCCGCGATCAAGCATGCACGAGTACTTGAATAACGTCCGCGCGGTTCTCAACAGCATGGGTTGCTGGATACCAAGAGGGGCACGTGATCCTCAACAATGCTTCCTGACAAATGCTTCGGACACTGTGCTCTGACATGCACCGCTTGGACCCACGGTCCGTGTCTCTTCTCCCGCACAGGACATGGGAATCTGGTGAGCCCCCCTCCGGTCGTGGAAAATGGTGTGAATCCAGCCCATGATCCACCCAAATGGGAGCATGTTCGGGCAACCCAAAAAATGGCCTCGTGTTCTCCTGATGGTGCAGTTTCAAAAAAAACATCCCCAAGAGGCTGTCCTCAAAAAAAGTCAACCGAAATGGATCATCCAGAACTCTTGACCGAACCTCCTTTAATGGCCGATGGCCGGCCCGAATCGAAAGGCTGGGAGTGAATCAATCCAGGTCGCGCGTGAGGTTTTCTCTTACAAAGAGTCGTGCTCTCAAAATCGGGGCGCTCTACCATGATGCTTGCTGGTGCCCCCCCTCAAACAAAAAAAAAGTCTGGCTTCAAGCCAAAAAAAGCGCCACCCCTCTCGACTCACTTGTTTGGCCGAGCGGCCCGGTCTCCGCCTGGCGATGCGATCGAATGGAGCGGAATCCAGTGCCCTTCAGCGGGGTTCAGCGCGGTGAAGATGGGTCGGTGTCTTCTGCTTGGGTCGGTACCTTCCCTACGTTGCTATGGCATCTGAAGGCTCTCCGGAAATAGATGTTTCAGAAACCCTCCCACAAATGCTCCGTTTGCGGGAGGAAGGCTACCCCTCGGCAGCTTGGTTTGGTTTCCTTCCCTGTCCGGGAGTGGGGAATGAAGCTTTTGGGGATTTCTTTGGAAACCAGAAAGGATGGTTTATAGGGGGCATTCCCTCATTCCCTGCTGAGAAACAGCAAGTGGTGGCTTGATTTCGGTTGTTTCGGACCTTGTCAATTGCGCTCATGCTGCGCCATTGCTGTCAGCCTCCGTTCATGGCGTGTCAATGGGGCCACCTACCAATTACTTTTCCAGGGTTCAACCCCCTAAAAAAGAGAACGGTTTTGACCATCCGCAACCAATTATTTTTGGTGGTGATATGAACCCAACCGTTGTTTTAACAGTCACAATCACCATCTTTACAGCGATCACCACCCCCCTTCCCCGCTGCCCCGCCTGCCCTATCTGGGCCTGTGCCGGGGCCGGGGCCTGCGGGAACTCGTTCCGCCTCGGCGAAACGAAGGCGGAACGAGGCTGAAAATCGCCGTCACCACGTCTTCGGAGGTCAACGCGCGGCGCGTGGATTTGACTCTTGGTCCCCAATTTTCTCTTTTGGAGGAAGCCACGTCAAACGGATGGCTTTCAGACCAGAACACATGGCGCATCACGTGGCTTTGTCACGTTTTCTCTAAGGAGGCCAAGGCAGATCCAGCGCTTTCAGAAGTCGCAAGCTTGAGTGGTTTCGCGGTGCGGCTTCACGCAGCTCCAAAGGACAAACTTGTTGGGACAGAACCGAAGCACGGCTCCCATGAACTCGGAAAGAAGAAAAGAAGAAAAGAACGGTCAAGCAATTCGCAAACTTGCCATGCCACACTGGAATCAGAACCCTGCTGGCAAGCCCCAACTGATCCAGGCACCCGGAGTCTTGACTGGGTATCTGACAATCGAGCATCGCCGAAAACTAAAGGTTTGTAGCACCTGCCAAAATGGGCCAACTGGGGCTCTGAGTGCTCAATTGTGGCCATTGCAAGTCCAGCAGCATTGGCACATTCATCATCGGCATGGGATCCGCTATTTGCCTGGCCGAAAGGCACAAATCATGCCTTCAGAAAGGCCGTTCACGCATTTGCCTGGGCGCTTGGTCGGTAGATAGGAGAGTTCAAACCAAATATGCTACAACCCCATTAAGAGTTCAACCGCCATTTAAACATATCGCAGAGCAACTCTTGGAACCGTGGGACTGAGGTTGAAATCGAGGGCTGAACAACAAAAGAAAAAGCGAGGAGTTGAATGCAACGTGTGCATCTTCCGCCGGCTTCGACTGCTTCATGGATGTTTTTCGGGTGCTTGGCAACCCAAGAGCGCCTTTTGGCAGCTCGGGAAAGCTTTCCCAAACATCGATATTTTGCTCAGATCATAGACTTCCGGTCCTGGCTGCGCCACATCTCTGAAGTGAAAAACATGTTTTTGAGGTTCCTTTTTGGGCTTCAAAGGGAAAAAGCCACCTTTGGGGCCTGGAGAGGGGTCTCGCTACCAGGCTCGAGACGCCGGCCTGTTCATCAGGCGACTCTGCTGCCTGGGAAAGGCTTCGCATGCGAATTCCTTCACCTCACGTGACACATCTTGTTGAAAGGCCTCCGATTGGACCCCAATCCGACTATGTTGATGTCGCGTTCCCTGTCCCGAGCCCTGCAAAGCAGAATAAGAGCCGTTTGCAAGTGCCGAAATTGCGGTAGGACGCTCAATTCCTGCCCTAGAAATCGATGCTCCACATGACTACTCTTCAAAGCCGACAACCTTGTTATCCATATCAAAAGTCACGTGGCTCATGAAAACTCATGGGACCTTCCTTGATGCTTCCCGGATGCGGCTCGCGAACCTGGGCAAAACTTACCCGAACAATCCCCCGCAGATCCCCCGAAGCGAGGGATCCCCGGATTCGCTCGCACCTCTTGGCTTGTGAAGTGGGCCAAACGCTAAGAAGAAGTCCCGGGCACATCCCCAATTGACGGAGCTTCCCCAAACCAAGAGTTGATCAATTTGCCGGTGGCAAGTCACCGAGCCACCGAGTCAGCGAGTCACCGAGTCGTTTTCTGTTTCTCTTTCTCTCCGAGGCGCAGCTGGATCTGCTGCATCTGCAGCTGCAGCTGCACCAGCTGCTCCGAAGGCCTCGAAAGCATCGAGTGCCATGGAAGACTCCATTTGGATGGTCCTGATCGGTCCTGATTCCCCTAGGAATCATGATGAAAAGGGATCCTTACCAGGTAACATGACCTTCCCTGTTGACCCCAGGGGTCTTTTGACAAACATGGGCCTTCGATCTTAAATGTGACTCTGAGTGAGTTTGTGTCAAACGAGAACACGTTGAATAGTTGGTCTCCTGTTGGTTTCCCTGTAAAACAACCTAAGGCGAGAGAGTACCCTAGAGCTGAAAGCGAAATCAAGGGGAAAACCCGGGGGTTCCCCCAAATCGCCACTAACAAAAAACCACGGACAACCGTCTATGCTATCTCTCTATGCCAAGAAACTCTGTAGGTTTGCCATGGTCGATTCTCCATTATGTCTACACATCGATCTGTGCAAACTCAATTCTGAATTGTAAAAGCAGAGCCTTGCTAGACATAGCGCGCTCCAAAAGCATCCCACCCCAGCACCTTGCCGAATTTCTGGACACGCCCCACGCCCACTATGACCTCCATCCAACTTGTGTGTGTGTGTCCATGCCATGACGGCTGGAAATCCAGGATGTCCAAGGGTCATTTGAAGTTGAGCCATACCCAAAATCTGGGTAGAGGGTTCACTGGCAACATTGAGATGTGTGTTTGTCTCAATCTTGGGGACCCTCCAAAATGATTTACTGGGTTCCTCTTGCCCTTCTTGCAACCCAACCTTTTTATGCGTTCTCCCACAACAAAATTCCGCCGGGCGCGGGGCGCGATGTCTGCGATCTCCGCCTGCGAAGGCCGGAGCTGGGAGGTGTCGCAAAGGCGACGTGAGATATGGGGCTGCCCTTTTTGTTGAGGGTGGCCCAATGGAGATTGGTTGCAAAGGGAAACTAAAAGGAGAAAACCGCCATATTATGTATGTATACCCACATGAGTGTGTGTGTGTGTGTCTGTGTGTGTGCGTGTCTTCGTAGCCATCTGTTGCGACCCTGTTCACGTTGATTTAGAGGGAAACCAAAAGGCATACCCCCATTTCAGCGGTGCGAGAAACCAGTCGGCGCTTTCGCGCGGCGGCAGCACGTAAACAGAGCAGGCGTTGACCGTGCGAGAGTATGCGAAGGCGTGCAAGGCGTGGGTGCAAGGTTTCAGCGTGGCCTTTCTTGCACACTCTCCTTTTGCGCTGGCGCTGCCAATGTGCACTTGGAGTGCTACTCTTCCGATGCGATTTTCACTCTCCCAAAGTCTCCCGTCCTTGTTTTGACACCTACCCTGGCATGACATTTAGTGGCATGAAGCGACATGAAGCGAAACAGAATGAGATCAAGCTGGCGTGGAACGCAACCAGCCACCCAAGTTCAGGCCCTACAAAAAAAAACGCAAACAAATCTCAACCCCGGCCGACCTTTTTGGTCGGCGCAGCGAGTCGCGGAAGGCGTCGAGTCCCGGCCTGCATGTTCATTAGGAGATCCAGGTCTTGGGGTCTGCTCAACCTAGGGCGAGGTGGACTTGGTGCGCGACATCGCTAGGGGAAGAGTTGGAATGAACCGGATTCGGGGATTCCCCGAAGAATGGAAACCAGCAGTTGGATGGTGCGATAGGTAGAAAAATGGGGATGAATCCCGAATAAACGAAACCAGGAGTTGGATGGTTTATCTCGGGGTCATTCCATTTCTCATGCCCTGGTGAAGCCCAGAAACTTTGACTTCAAAAGTACGCCCGGCAAAGTGAACTCCCGCTCAAGGGGGAGAATCCCTAATTCATCGACCGATCACTCAGGCGTCTATTCATCAGCCATCATACAAGACCGGGCATCAACTAGGCCTATGTAAGACATGCCCAAGTGCAGCAAGACCCATGTGAAGGAAAGCAGCGACACACGTCTCTGTCACTTCAGCGCCGCAACTGCTCAATACGAAAGCAGTTCGCAAAGGGTGCCGTGGCAGCTCGGGTTAGCAGTAGCTGTAGCTGTGGCAGTAGCTGTAGCAGTTGCAGTAGCAGTAGCGGTGGCGATAACAGCAGCAGAAGCAGGAAGTAGTAGCAATAGAGGTAGCGGTAAGGCTAGCGGTGGCAGTCGTAGTCGCAGTAGCAGCAGCAGCAGTAGCAGTAGCAGCAAGGGCGGCAGTAAGGGTGGTGTAGTAGTCGTCGTCGTCGTCGTCGTCCAGCCGCAGCAGCAGCAGTTGTAGCGGAAGTAGTAGCAGCAGTAGTAGCAGCAAATTTGCTTTGGACTGTGCAAAGGGACTCCAATAGACCTTGCAAGGAAACTACGAGGCTACGCAGAGCTTTCTGATCAGACATGCGATGAACTCGGAACAACTCACTGCAAGTAGGTAAGGCTCCAAAAGATCAAACGCGCGACCATAGCGTTGTGAAGCCTTGCGTCTTGCGTAGCAAGCATGGGCTCGCTGCAGAGACTTGGGCCTGTTCGGGCGGTTTAAAAAGGACTCGCCGCAAAGGCAGTCCCCTTCTTGGGTGGTTTGGTTTTCGATCGACGCTGAAGAACCTCAAGCACTTCAAACACCGTCCCCTTCCGATACGGCGCTCTCGGGCTTGCCAGGACCCCAAAAAATATGCCCCGCAGGGGCAAAATAAAGCAATAGTTCGCCGTTTATATATTTATTCAAAAAAAACACTACCCATATGGAAGCCCGAAAAGCTATCACTGAGGAGTTTCGGAGCCGCTTCCCAGGTGGAAAATTTGCTGACCCAGCCCTCTCGCTCCTCTCGCCCGAGGCGACTGCGGCTCATCAAGGTTCGGCAGCTTCCTGCCGCGGCTCCGCGGCTCCCCATTCGGGACTCGGAACTCTTGTTGGTCCCTTGTGGCTATTGAAACAGGGATCCTTATACACCTGAACATTGCCTTGTCAATGGTGGTTTCCCCTTATTTTGGTAAAAAAGCCATGTTTCAAATGGGCAAAATGTATCTTTTAAGGAGCCCTGTGAAAGGGAAGCCGCTTTTAGAGACAGCACCAGTGGGTCATGCAAACAGGAAAGGTGTTCTGTTTTTTTCCTTCCAAGGCATATGGAAATTGTAAGCCCTCCTAAGGTCAAGAAAGCCTAGGTTTTGGAGAAGAACTCCGGTCGGCCCTATCAGCAGCGCCCATGGATGCACTCAAGCCCTCGTCAGAATGCGGCCGCAACTTCGGCAAGTTCCGCGGCAAGAACGCGGACGCCCAAATTTAACATGAATGTGTCGGAGATGCCACTGCCCTCAGATAGCCGAAAAGTGTTTACCTTTTAGCGGGTTGAATGGACCCCCCACTAAACACTAAACACTAAAAAGATCTAAGAAGCTAAGGGACCGGATGGCCAGGAGCTTTCAAGGTCAGACGGACGCAGCCGGGCAAATGGGCCCATTCTGCCAAAGACATGGCAGCCAGACGCAGGCATGGCGAAGTCCGCATGCCCTCGTGCAGCTTGGCACCTGGATGTGCAAACAGGGGGTTAAGCAACTCCGGTGAATTGATAGGGGGGTATCCACCCCCCTATCAATAAACTGGGGTTGAGCAATCGGGGGTCAACATTGATGGAAACCTGGTGCGAAAAAAGAGGATAAATCAAAAAGTCCCCCCGAATTTGGATGGATCAAGGACCGGCGGAAAAGTGACAGTGTGCTGCTGCAGGTAGCGGCTCTGCACTTCAGAAACCCACTTTCACATTGCAGCGTCACAGGCTGTCATTCTTCATTGTTCCTCTAGCTGGCTTGAACAATTGATTCCCGGTGGCCAATGCTCTCCGATTTTGCTCCAACAATTATTGCATCTCGTCTGTGCGCATGTGTGCGTCTTTATGACGTCTTTGTGTTGATGTCGGAATCGCTTGCTCGTCCGTTCGTCGAGCTTATTGCAAGAACCGCCTGTGCCTGCCTCAAGGCGAGCCGACACCTCTGGCCCATCCAACTTTTGCCAAGGTGCGCATCAAACTGCGGCCGCCTTGCACAAGACCGGGGCGGCAAAGGAGTAACGTCGTCTACCCCATGTAACGAGTTTGAGGGGTGCCAGCCTTCAACCTGCAGGGGACGCCCCTCTTGACTTTGCTGGTGGAGGATGTCATGGTTTCTACCAAAATTGCGTCTAAAGGATCTAAAAGCAGGCCATGCCTATTTCTGGCTAGGACTGTCCCTGCCCTGCATCTACCGATGATCTACCCGGATTTTGAGGATGGGGCCCAGCCACAGCTACAGTTTGGCTGATCACTTGGCAGGTGCATTGCTCACGCAGCCGACCAAAAAAAGCTTTGCTCCCAGAATTCCATCCAAGCCTGGTCAGGTCACTAGTCACTAATTCGCAAAACCTGACCATCGGAAATTTCTCCAGAGCCTGTCATAGCCTTGTTTTGTTTGTGTCAAAGGGCAACCCCTTTGATAGTTGTCCATTTGGCGTCCGCCCCCAAAACGAGTACGGAGACTAAAAGAACACACGCCAACGACTGGCACCGAGGCACAACGCTGCGGCATGAAATTGGCCCGGTGGCCGGGAAGGTGCCCTGAGCACAGGGAAAGTCGGCTCAGCGCCGGCCAAAAAGTTGGAAGGGGTTTGGGCGTGCTACATATACATGTGTATATATATATACATATATATATATACATATATGTATATATACAACCCACTGCAGCCCAAGGTGAAATCATTGCAAGACAGGAATCCACGCAGGTGGATGAAAGTAGCCACAGGGGATGCTCACTTGTTTCTGTACAGAATTTCCCTGAAATGACCGCACGGGTCTCTACAAAAAGAAGATCTTGCACACGCTTTTCAAACAAAACCTTCTGACGACTCATATAGAAGATCTCTCGACATGGGGCCTGCGCAGGTCCTGCGCAAGATTTGTTGAGAGGACATCTACGAAGGGCCAGCACAAGATATCTGCGGCGCGGGAGGATCTGTACAAGATCTCTGCACAAGATCTATGGGTAGGATCTCTTGGGAGGATACAGTCTATAAGCTTTCAGTTCAAGATCTGTAGGGCGCATCCTGCGCATTGTCTTTTGACAGGATCTTTTTGCAGCTCCTGCACAAGACCTTTTAGCTGGGACCAGCGACAAGATATCTCCGGGTAGGGTCGTTTCATGGGATCTCTTAGCAAGATTTGCGCACATGATCCGTTTGAGGTACGGTCCTCCAGCTCTCTGTCCAGGATTTGTAGAGCATCCTCTACAAGATCTCTCGCAAGGAACCCGAAAGGCCCCGGCCGGCGCAAAATGTTTGCGGGGGGATCTATACAGAATCTGCGCGCAAGAGCACTGCACCGCGCCACAGCAAAAGCGACCCTAGCTGCCTCGAGTTTCCAAGTACGCGATGTTCAGAACGCCCGCGTTCACTTTCGACGTGGGTTCAAACATGCGCCGCGCCACAATGACAGCATTCAACGCACCCAAAGTCCGCAGAGGGTTGACTTCGATGTTACAATTCGCGCCACACCACAGACAGAGCTCTCCAACACGCCCAGTGTCTGCAGAGGACGCACCAATCCGCCATTTACAGAGAGGTCTCATGTCACACCGTTTCATGCCACCCTGCGCATCTTGACACCGTGCCGTACTCCTACCATAAGTATTCATTGGCTTCTTTTTGGTTTCCTTCAAATACCAACCAACAAGGGGGGCCTAATGTGAAAGGCATTGTACCAGGCAAGGTGCAAAAACGTCTATTGCCACTGCGCAAGCATGCCTTACCCTTTATGCGCAGCACTGAACGGGTTGAGCGGGCGCACTTGGCGGGTGTGCTCGGGCGTGAGCACTTACCATTTGGCAGGCAGGGCGCACTTGAGCGCGTGCTTGCCATTAGGCAGACATGGGTACACGCTTGAGCGGGTGTGCAGCGCGCGAGCGTGCGCTTACCATTGCATGTGCGTCGGGGCGTGACTCCTGACTATTCGAAAGGGTGCTGGGCCTGCAAAACATGGAAAACCTTTGGGCTTCCATGAGCCGCCCAACTGGTTGAGACGTGTTTGGCGCAACCACAAAGCATCACTCCGTGACTCAAAACACCTAGGCCCGGGCAATCCGCTCTGCCCCAGCCCATGAGCCTGGCGTGTATGGAACTCTCATGGCCTCAAAACTGCTCACTCAGGATTCTTAAAATGGGTTGCCCCCGCTTGGTTTAGAGGAAAATCCCAAGGTTTCCCCACACGCCTTGTTGGGAAATGTGAACCAATTCCGATTCTGAGAAACTAACACAGTCTTCTCGGGGCCCGGCCCGGGAAGGGCCCTTGTCCGAAGACCAGGAACCATACCCGGCAAGAGATGCAGGGGGGGAAACGCCAAGTCTTTACAATTCTGAAGGCTAAAATACGAATTGCACTAGAGCACTGAAATCGCTCCTTTTACCCTGGAATCGGACTCGCTTGCCATAAACTCAGCAAGTGAATGCCTTTAAACCTGCTATTTGTGCACTTCGTCTTTGAGGGTACCCTCTTTCTTGGGTTGTTTCAAGAGAAATCCAAAGGGGAACCGCAACCAAAAAGAGAGGGGCTCCCTATTTGAAGACACCTCCAAATGCGACTCACAGGGCACGCGCTCGCTCCGCACCTTGCTCGCAGGCAGGCTGTGCCTGCAAGCAGCGAGCGTGTTGCCGCGAGGCCCATCTTCCACAAGATATAAAACATCCGAGCAGGAGGTGAACACAGCCCCAGGATGTTGACCCCATATGAATAGTCTACCAATAGGGGGGGGGTGCTTCTCCCTGGGTGACATGTGGGGAATCAGACCACTTTTGGAGGGGCAAAAGCCACCCCCCTACTAATAAACTGGTTGGTTGATGAGTATGGGGTCAACATTAGAGGCCTACGAGAGATTTCCCCCCCAAAGAAAAACTGCCGCCAACTGAGAAGAGGCTCAAGTCCGCCTCAAGTCCGCCTCAAATCCAGCAATCCCGAAAAATATTGGGCTGAGCGTGGGCCTTCCCATAGCCCTGGAAACATTGTCTGAACGCAAAGGGGAACTCTTTGCTTTCTGCTCCCCTGCTGAAAGTTTAACTTTTAGTAGCTCTTTCATGGAAAACCCATTAGTTGGCAAAAAAGTCAAAGTCCTAACATCCCTTGGCAAAATGCACCAAAGGGAATGTTGCATGTTGCTTCATCCACTACCACACGCCCATTGGTCCATCCCAGCCGCGGGAACGGCATCTCGTGGCTATGCCTGGGCGAGGGTCTTGCAGCGGCTTTCGGAACATCCCTCGGAACATCTGGCTGGGGGTTGATCAATATTCCCTCCTGGCCCCGCAGGTTCCATGGGAAATTTTTCACATGTCAAATGTGGGAAGTATCTTTTTGGGGGTTCTCCCACTGGTCATCCAATGTAAATGACAATCCTTTTGATCAACCCCCAGCTGGACGGCCCGAACCATCTGCAACGCCTGCAAGTGCTTTGAGAAGGAAACGATGCCTGGTTGCACGAAACAAGAAGCATCGGTTTCCTGACACCTTCACTGGTTCAAGGGATGCTCCTGAGAAACCACCGAGAGAAACGTCCTCCACGAATTTGGTTCCTTGCCAGAATCCCCATGAAGCCACGTGCTAGGGCCAACCACCTGCTTTTTTTCACCCCACGAAACCAAATTGAACCTGCTCAAATGGGTCATTCTCGAAACTGTGGCCAATGGCAATCAATCGCCAACCAAAAGCGGGGTCCGTGTTGAAAAAAAAAATGAGCATTTCTCAGAATGGACGACAATTCGTGTTTCTTTCAAAGGCAAACCAGTGGAACCCAACCATTTTGAGTGGGACCCCTTCGCCATCTTCACTTCCGGCCCTTTGCAACCAGGACACAGCAGCTGGACATCCTGAGGGCCGTGAATCCGTCAACTTGGGTGTGGTTTCGAGCAAGTCGATCCACTTCCATTTGTTGGAATGTGTTGTTTTTGTTTGTTGGTTTCCCTTGTTGGCTTTAAAGGGAATTGATTTCACTACTGAGGAAATAGTGTTGCTTTTCCAGGGGACTGGCCGCTTCAAACTTTCGGCCCCCAGCTTGAACACTCGGCCAGCCCGCGTCAAAATGGACTTGCACACCATGGATCCTTTGGATTTGGGTGAATGGGCCAGTTGTCCTGGCAAATGGAAAAAGGCAGACTGGGGGATACCTGGAAAGGTAGCCCCCAGCTACTTCATTTTGAGCCACACCCACTTCACTACAACCAGACTCCAAATGGCGCGCGCAGTCTTTCTCTCGTTGGACCAGCCTGAGGTTCGGCACGTCGCCGCTCCTGCCCAAGAGGCAGGAACTCAATTCGCTTTGAATCGAAACAGGACCCAACCATGGCCTGTTCGGTCTTCCTGTGCATTGCCCAAAAAGAAGCCTTGATTTAAACAAAAAAAATGTGCAGAAATTCCAGCGATCAGTCACCTTCCTTTCCTTTAGATCAGCCTCATGTCGCTTCGCACATGGCAACCTGGTTTGCTCGGAGCACGGGGTTTCGCACGGCTCAACTTTGGGTGCCTTCGATGCGAAAGCCCCGAAATCCCGTGGATCTTTCTCAGCCCCCAAGCGCCGCAAAAGACGCGAACCCCACGGACACACGGGGCAAACCCACCGCCCCGGAACCCGAGAAACCACAGCAACCACAGCGGCATCCTCGGGATGGCGGTTGGAAAACACCTCAGGCCGGATGCAACGAACTCTGGCCAACTTCGCATGGACCTTGGGGCACACAATCCATACCAGATCCCATCTTGCCATCCTTCCACAAAAAAAACAAGACAAAGGCCGCCATTTTGGGGGGTCCACATCCCGATTTTTGCGGCGCGAATATTGCGCTTGAATCGATCCGACCACCATTTGGGGGGGGGGTCCAAATTCTGATTCGGGCGAATAATGTTGACCCAGGATGAATAAACCCGTCCCGTTATTACGGGGGCGTTCCCTCCAACCGTGATGAATCCCCTATCAATCCACCAGGGATTTACTAATCCTGAGTTAACATTTTGCTTGTTGCGATCAGACCGCTCTT